GGCACCAGCCCCAGCGTCGTGTGCTACCCAGCTGCACTGCACCATACAGGCACTGCGACCGACGGTGACCGAGCGAGCGACCGACGCGCGCAGTTACGCTCCACGCGCGCTCGCGAACGCATCGCACGCGTTCGTTCGGCATGACGTTGTTCGGCCGCCGCTGTCGTGCCCCTACGGCGGCCGTTCCTGGTTGTGAGCCCCACGGAGAAGGCCGTCACCGTCGACCGCGGCGCTCGCCAGGACACCGTGTCCGTCGACCGCGTGAAGCCGGCCTCCGTGGAGGATCGCCCTGCACCACTGGCCAACAGACGCCTCCAGTCTCTCGGTGTTAGCGCCGCGGCCGGCTCCCGATGGCGGACCGCTGCTGGTGGTCGACCGCGCGAGCGCCCCACCGGCCTGCGAGTCCAACTGACTGCTCCCCATCCCTGAGTGCGCGCGGCCGCCCCACATGCCAGCGCGCCTGCCACGTCGCCCTCCATCCTCTGCTCGCGCTCGGGACGCGCCGTGCACCCGCCAACACGGTACCGCCACGTCCACTTCGTGGGCGTGTCTAGGGGAGCACTGTTGGCAGCGCCACCTCTAGGCGCTACCACCGTGGGTGGCGCCTTCGGCATCACAGGCGGCGCCCGTGCAAATGCGTCTGCCTCTGGCTTGGCTAGGTGGCACCGTACTTTGCGCGGTGTATGATTTCGTACGAATTGATCATGTCAACTCCGCCAGCTGTACTTGCAATAAGTCCCCACCGCCTTATACATTTTTTCACAGCGAAAAAGTCACATTTAACGCCCTTTATTCGGTGAATTCTTCCATGATGTCTTGCATGGAGTCCCTCGACGGCAGATGACCAGCTCTGCGCCCTTTCGCCGCAGCGCGCGCCCACGACAGCAAAACGATTCGCTGCTCAACCGCCAAGGCTCCACTATAAAAGCAAATATATATATGCACAAAGAGACTTGTTTAGTGCTAGTGTGCGAGTACCGAGTATAGCGCGCGAGTAGTAATACCTAGACCGAACGGTAGATGGCAGAGCGTCTCGCGGAGTACAGGAACACAGTCTAGTTCCGACCGCCGACTCGCGTGCACATTCGCGGAGACAGACTCGAACATGGCGCAGCCGACAGGATCAGTGGGAATCGGTTCTTCTGTCGGACGACATAGACGACCCTGTGACTAGTGTCGTGCCTCGGGGAACGCGACTCGTGCCAGACTCGATGGCAAAAGGTGCCAAACCGGAACAATTGGAACTGACCAGTGACCGCGGAGTGACGTACCGCATGTGGCGACAGAGATGGGACGACTACACGATGTTGTCGGACTTGAGCAGCAGGCCGCCAGCCCTGCAGCTGGCGATTCTCCGGTCGTGCCTCTCGGACGAGGTCCGGACAGTCGCGGCCAACTTCGACATCCCTGCTTCCCAGTGATCGGACCTCTCCGTCGTCCTCTCGCACCTGGACGGCTACGCCCGCGACCAGGTCAATGAGGTCATTCGGAGGCGCACATTTAATATGTGCACCCAGCAGGAGGGCGAGTCACCTAATGACTTCTCCACCCGCCTCCGTGATCTCAGCCGTGAGTGCGGATTCTGCGATGCCTGCCGTGACAGCCTGAGCAGGGACCGTATAGTCGTGGGCATGCGCGACCCGGCGACAATGAAACGATTGTGCGCCGTCTCACTCCTGTCATTGCAGCAGGCGATCCAGATCTGCCGCTCCGAGGAGGCTGCGACGCGTGACGTCACGGAGATCGTCGGCGGCGAGGCCGACGCCGTGGGATCCGCACCGACTGTCATCGTGTCCGTGTCAGGCCGTAACACGGCCAGGATGACGGCGCTTCAGGACGCCGGAGCCGACGTGTCAGTCGCTGGGTTAGACTTTGCCGAACTCATTGACGAGATGAACGATAACCTCCAGCCGCCGCCGACCCATCCCCGCGCTGTGGGCGGCCACGTGACGCGCTCGCGCGGGAGTCTGCCCGTCCGAATCACCCTGGGTGACGTAACGGTGTCTGACACGGTGCATATCATCTCAGGAGTGCCACAACTCCTCCTCTTGTGGCGCATTGCCGTCCGTCTTCGTATTGTACCGGTCAATTACCCACGGCAGATAAATGCAGTCAGTCGGGGTGCCGGACCGCCCGGGGGAGGGGGGGGGGGGGGGGGTGCGGTACCGATTATAGCGCGCGAGTAGTAGTATCTAGACCGAACGGTAGATAGCAGAGCGTCTCGCGGAGTACAGAAATAGTCTAGTTCCAACCGCCGACTCGTGTGGATCTTCGCGGAGACAGACTCTAACAGTTAGTGCTCTACGCACAGCATGCCGGGCCCCAGGAAACAACGTAAGGTCTCTGGACAGCGTAATGAGCCTTAAAATATTTTCACCCCCACCCTCTCAATGAATGACGAATTATTTTTATCCCCTCGAAGGCCCCTCACTTTCATTTGCGACTGTCCCTGGCTACTTGGAAGCCAAAAGACGCCCAATTTTGTTGTGTTTCGTGCCTCAAATATGCGTCTATTTGGCCGGCTATGGGCGCCTTCGAAGCCCATGGGCTCCTTTTGGGGCCCGAGGGCAGGGGCATGGCTCCACCCCCCCCCCCTTCTGGATCCGCCCCCGGCCATCGGCCGCAGACCATTTAAGCCAGAAGTCAAATAGCGGGCGCACATAAACGCGGCCAAAAAAGAAAATGCAGCCCCCCCCCCCCTCCCCACCCTACCACCTGCGTGATGAATTTTCACCGGGCTACATCCCGGTCCTACCTAGTTTGGTTATCTTGGCTGTGCTCCTGTGAACGCGTACATAGCGACTTGAGCCCCCCCCCCCCCCCCATGCCGCTACTGGCGCGCCAGGATTCCCAGGAGCAAGTAAGCTAGAGGGCGACAAGCTGTGCTTTTGGTTTCCATTTCATTTATTTTGATGGTTGCTCATGCCTGTCATTCCTAATCGGGCGTTTTGCCCCTGATTTATGGCTGGACCATACATCATGCCATATTCTGACAGGTACCATTGGTGATTTATCGGCCTTTCTGATGATAAACTAGTTGTTGCGGCTTGCAGATTCAGCTGGTGACCAGGATGTGTATTTTGGTGATGGAAGTAGCCACTAGGGTCGCCCGATTTATTTTGACCCATTTTCAGCCGCCGTAACTAAGCCGACGTGTCAGTATGCGGGGCGGGGACATCCGTCGATCGCGTGCTTCGCACGGGCAAGGTGCAACCAAAACATAAAGCACAACCGGTCGCGTGGATGTGACCACGTCTCTGAGGTTGGGGAGCTGGGTGACAAATCAGGATTGAGGAGGCAGACTGGAACCTGGGGAAGCGGCGATTGAACCTAACGTCATTGTGAACGACAATTTGTGAGCAACGTGCATTTTACACGAAAAGTCAGAGGGACTGCAATCTATTTTTGATAAATTTGGGAGGCAGGGGAGGCGTCCGCTTCCCATGCTCCTGCGGTGATTACACCCACGGCTGGATGTAGCTTCGGTCAGACGGAACAGATTATTAGAACACCTGCCTTCTGACCCACCCACCCGTGGCGGGTATGCCCGATCCCCTTCAGGCGCTCACCAACACTTGGCCGGGGTAGCCGGCGCCTGTGGCAGCGGCTGCGCTGAAGGTCAGGCGACGGCAGAGGTAAGGGCCGTCCGTGGTAAGAATTCCGGTACTCTGTCGTTGGCCCGGGATTTCCCGATCGGGTGGTGAGGTCAGGGCTCACGAAACAAACGCCTGCCCGTGAAGTGGTTTATGCGGCAACTGAGCATCCGCATCCCGCCGGAGGAACCGCTGCTTCTTGCGAACGAGCGAAGAAACAATGTGTCAAAAACTCACCCCCGCAGCACGCTACGCAGGAATATATTGCGACGTATCAGTCAGCAAATGCGAGCAGAATGCTCACCAGCTGCTGCAGCCGGCCGGCATATACGAGTGGCTCCACCACACTCGTCAGCAGCCAGATTACATTGATGTGGCACGATCAAGTCCATCGCAAGGACTTAATATTGTGTAGAGAATGTTAAGCTGTAGAATCGTCCGCACGGAACGCCCGTTAACAGGACCGTCATCAGAGTCTACGTCACCAAAACAGAGCTTCCGTCTCGCTATGCCCGATCCACAGTCGTCCTCGGGTCACACACATCATAATGTCCAAATACATCCACATCTCACGAGCGCACGTCGGGTCCCCGCACCCTACTGCAGCAATGATCCTCACTGTCATCCGCACACTCCGCCCCTTCCCCGCGTACTCGTCCCGCTCCCGCGTGCTCCAGCCCGGCCAAACGGGCGTGCCCCTTCCAGTCAGCAGCAGCCAGGCCGGACGGCGGGCCCACACGGAAGCGCCTGCCGCGTGCCGGCGGTTTGTCGCCGGGGTACGACACAAACCAGCGGATCCGCCGCAGCAAAGCTGCACCAGTGGCGCAGCTGGAGCAGCACGTCTCCGAAGGCCACGTCGGGCCAACACTCAACGCTGTCAGGTCGACCGGGTCACGTCAGGTCAGCAGTGGCGCAGCTCGAGCAGCACGTCTCCGTCGGCCGCGTCGGGGCACCACTCAACGCTGTCAGGTCGTCCAGGTCACGTCAGGTCAGCAATGGCGCAGCTGCAGCAGCACGTCTCTGACGGCCGCGTCGGGGCACCACTCAACGCTGTCAGGTCGCCCAGGTCACGTCGGGTCAGCAGTGACGCAGCTGCAGCAGCGCGTCTCCGTCGGCCGTGGTCGTGACGGCGGCGCGCTCTGCCCAGCGCTCCGTCCAGACGTCGCCTAGCGTCCGCAGTCTCTCCAGGCCGCCGGTGGGCAGCGTGAGCCGCTGCAGCGGCGCCGGGCCGGCCAGCGAGCGGCGCAGCGGCGTCAGCAGCGGCTCGGTCGGCAGGTCGGCGCCCGGCGGTCGACAGCCGGCCATCAGGAGCTGCGTCAGCGGGCAGGCGGCAGCCAGCGCGGGCCGCCAGCAGTGCCGCCTGAGCCTCGGCCGACAGCTGGCCGTTGTGGGAGGCATCCAGCCGGGCTAGGTGGGGCGTGTGCGTGAACGCGCTGCCGGGCAGGGGTCGGGTTATGACAAGCAGTCCTGAGGTCACCGGTCAGGTCAAAACATGCCGCCGGGCAAAGGGAGCTAGGCCAGTATGGGATCAGGTCATACCATGGCAGCAGTAGGGGCCACGCCGCACCAGAGTTGTGCACACGTGCTGAGTGCAGACCAACACGCCACTTGCTAGACATGGCCGCCGCACGGTGACGCAATGTTCATGACGTCACTCGGCGCGTCCCGACAAATCGCAGACAGCTGAGCGCGACACGGACCTGGCCAGCTGGTCGGCCTGCTCGTCGGTGAGCCCGCTGCGGCTCAGGTCGAGCTCCTGGAGGGAGCAGTCGCGGCCGCGGGCGACGAAGCGGCGCAGCGAGCCGGGCAGGCCGCGCCAGCCGGCCGCCGCCAGCCGCAGCAGCCAGTCGGGCCGCAGCCAGCGCAACAGCAGCTCGCCGCCGGCCGGCGACACGGCGTTGTGCGACAGCCGCAGCTCCGACAGGCTGCTCCCTGCAGGCGGGCAAGAGAAAGGGGCGTTAGATGCTGGCAAGCTGGACTGCTCCTCCCGTGGAGCGAGCCGACTCCACTTCACCACTTGATGGCAAAATCCTGTATCATTACCTCGCATCGAGGTGTATTTACTCACCAGCCAGGGCGAGCGCCAACGTGTCCTGGTGGGCCGACAGGTGGTGCTCGGTCAGCTGACACGAGGTCAGGTCGAGGCAGGTCAGTCGGGTCAGGCCGGCCAGCAGCGTGGCCAGGTGGGCCCCAGACGAGCTGTCCGCCAGCAAGTTGTAGCCAAGACGCAGGGTCTTGCAGGCCTGGCAACACACGGCGGTAAGTGTTGGGCGCGATAAGAGCAGGGGACAGGTCATTCGACATGATTATGGTAATTATCGAGGATACCACGCGGTGTGTTGACATGTAACGACATCACGGGACGACTCAAGCCAGTTACAATGAAGGGAAGTCAAGCACGACCGTAGTAGTAAAGTTGCATCAACCTGATAATGTACGATGAGATCATAATATACATCTTGTAACCGTAACAACACATTTTGTTACACGACGTGCATTTCATTTACAAGATGAATTTGTTAAATATGATATGACACCTTTTCGCTAATACTGAGCTTGTTACACTATCTTCTCAACTGAATATGCTCAGGCCACCATACCGTTGCGCTGCTCGCAGTCAGGACAATTGGTGCCAATGGGGAAGGTCTGCGCGCCGCCGTGACAAGACTCATCTGCGATTTGCCAGCCACAGAAAAACAATCGCCAGCAGCCTCCCATTGTCGCTGTTGGCGCAGGCACGGTACACACAAAGTGTTCCGTCCAGCTGACCATACCTGGAGAGCACCGACCCGGTGTTCCGTCCAGCTGACCGTACCTGAAGAGCACCGGCTCGGTGTTCCGTCCAGCTGACTGTACCCGAAGAGCACCGGCCCGGTGTTCCGTCCAGCTGACTGTACCTGAAGAACACCGGCCCGGTGTTCCGTCCAGCTGACTGTACCTGAAGAGCACCGGCCCGATGTTCCGTCCAGCTGACTGTACCTGAAGAACACCGGCCCAGTGTTTCGTCCAGCTGACCGTACTTCAAGAGTACCGGCCCGGTGTTCCGTCTAGCTGACTGTACCTGAAGAGCACCGGCCCAGTGTTTCGTCCAGCTGACTGTACCTGAAGAACACCGGCCCGGTGTTCCGTCCAGCTGACTGTACCTGAAGAGCAGCGGCCTCGCCGACCGCGGCCGCTACGTGACCGAGGCCGGCTGACGTCATCTTGACACAGGTCAGGTCAAGAGTGTCGAGACCGGTCAGGTGGGGCAGAGCTGAGCTGAGTTCCTGCGGCCGTGCAGAGAGCGCGCAGGTCAGGTGGGGGAATGGCGGCGAGCACATTGAACATGAAGGGAAGTGCAGAACTGAACTACTGTGGTCATGAAGAACTCACACCAGTGAAGTGAAGGGTGAGCATATCGAGCAACTGGACAATACATCGCTCAGCCACCCAGCTGATGTTAAGGTCACACCAAGGTTCATCAAAATGCCGTTCGAACAAAAAAGGACACATTAAATCCACCTGCATCCCGCGCAAAATGACGATTGTGTTGCAAAACATCGACAAGCACTTCCAATCCACCCCTCATGCCTCTGATTCTTTTGTCAAAGACTTCACCGAGCAGCGCCACCAATGCCGCTACTCCACCCACCTGCACGCCCTCATCGCCGAGCGGATTGCCGGCGAGGTCGAGCTGCGTGATACAGTTGTAGCGCTGGGTGGCGCGTAGAACAGGCCGCAGCCTCGCCGGCGTCAGGCGGACGTCAGCCAAGTCCAGACGGCCAGAGCCCTGGCAGAGGGCGAGGCGAGATGCCACAGTCCCGATGGCGCCTGTCCAGAGGTCATATAGAGGTTACATAGGGTCGAAAGAGGTCAGTCAGGCCCAGTTGGGAGTAGCCGACGTCCAGAGCAGACCTGTCCAGATGTCAGAAAAGGGCCAGGTCCAGATCCGGTAATCCGTTCCGACTCTGGCGCCAGAACAACCAGTTACGATCCAGACAACGCGTCTGCAGGAGTCCAAGGAAGGTCAGACGAGTCATGATAATGGTGATGTGTAGCTCACGCCGGCCGCGACATGTTAACACGACCCCGAGTCAGCACCAACCACATCAGCCAACACCTGCAACAACTACCACGCCTAACGATCCCGCTTCCCTCCCTCCGCCTGCCTCCCCACAGGCGCGGCTCACGTGCGTTCAGCAGCCCGCAGGCCGCACTGTAGCGCTCGGTCAGCGGCGGCCGCTCCCAGCTGATGACGCGGCTGCTGATGACGTCATCCTGGCCGCGGACCAGTCCGCTGACGGCGTCGTCCAGCGTGAGCAGAGCGCCGTCCTTCAGCAGCTCCAGAGAGGGACGCAGCAGAAACTGCCTGTGCGCGGATGTACGTCGGTCGCAGGCAGCGTGGCAGACACGGGAAGGCGGGAGCAGTGTCGTCGGACTCGATTGTGAAAGCGAGCGAACAGGGCGCGCATGCGAACGCCGTGCCGTGGCGACGAGCCGTGAAAGCCGGCAGTTAGAGGCGCACGAGGACACGACTCCTTTGCAGGAAAATGGAACAGAAGTTAAGTGGCGCTGTTGATGGTGCATCCATCTAGCTAATCAACCAGTTCAAGTTACACAACTATTGTAAATAGGGCGACAGGCCTATCCCGGCGAGTCTTTGGAGTAGCCAGCGATGCACCACATACTATCTGCGTTATCACGTATCAGTTGACGACGCAGCGATTACTATCTTAAGACTAGAGCAGCATAGCCCCAGCCCTCCGCCTATCCTCAACAACAGAGCGGTGGCCAGTGTCACCCGAGGCGGACCTTGCTTCATGACTCGGCCGCGTCGGCGCGCGCGCCAGCCAACTCGCCTGTAGTATCTGTCGGCGGCCTGCCGGGCGAGCCAGGCGACGGTGGGCGGCGGCTCGTCGCCGACCGGCGCCGGCAAGGGCACCAGCAGACGGTCCCGCTCCACCTCCACGATTACACGCACGCTGGGCGTCGGCCACCCCTGCCGGCCGCCAACGGAGGCGGGTCAGATCACAGCGACAGACACGCAGCGGGGCGGGATTGACCGAAGCCGGGGGGGGGGGGGGGGCACAAGTTACCACCAGCCGGCGGGGCAGGAGTGACCGCCGGCCGGAGGGACAGGAGTGACCGCCCGCCGGAGAGGCCACGGAGCAGCCCAGCCAGATCGAAGACCCGCAGGATTGACCTGCGGACCTGCGGGATCTGCAGCGCTGGCCGTGGCAGCTGTGTGGGGCCACACGGAGCCAGGGGGTCAGCGGTCAGGGGCCAATGCGGGCGCGCTGGGTGCGACGGTGCGACGAGGGGAGCTGCACCGGAGCCAGGGGCGCCTGGCGCCTGTGACCGTCGTATGCCGTGCGCCGCGTATGTCTCCTCACGGCCCGCGCCAATGTCCGCTGCCGGACTAGTCGCCCCGCGACCGGACCCAGCAGAAGACAGCGCTGCGCGTCCTGGCGGAGGAGCACGGAACAACATCAACCGCCCACAAAATTTACACTTGTTTATATGCATACATAACTTAGCTACACCTGGCCAGGCGGCAAAAACCTGAATGTTTACAGCACATTGAGCGTTTTGTCAAACTTCGGTAGCTTACGCGCGTCAAATAGTTCGACGAACTTTTGTGGCGCGCGGCGTATCTATTTGCCGCGGGAAACACGCTGTCTTCCCCAATGTGCGAGTATGGTTTTTGTTTGCTACGTTTGGCCCGGGCGCTCGTTCCGGACATCCGCGCAGGACGATAAGTAGAGGGCGGCCCATCAAACACGCCAACCCCGTCGGAGTAAGGGCACATTCAGACAGTACAGTGACAGTAACAGTCGGCTGTCGGAGTGACAGTGAGGCGGACACGGTGTTGGGAAAGCATGTCGACGTGGCATGCCGACGGCTGGGGGCTCGGCGCCTACACCTCGGCAAAGTGTAAGCCCGGTGGAAGAATCGCCCACCCTTCAGCGATTATTCGAGATCCTCGGCCCTTTCTATGTTTGATGGCCTCGCGTTGTATAAATACACATTAAAGAAGGGAACGTTTTGTGATGATGAACTTACGTACCCGCACATTATTTCCGATCCGTTACATGTCGCGCAAGTCTTCCGTGCTTGCATGGTATCATAGTAATTAGCATATATAATACACAAATATGTCGCTAATGTGTTTCGTTGAATGGCGTCTGACCTGTGGGTATCTCGTGACTGCCATTTGGCGTCGGTGAGAAATCCGTCGGGTGAGCATGACAGTATCGCTGAGAAATGAGGAGCCGGTGCTCCTACTTACGCAGACGGCCTGTATGTCAGATGCCGCCCCCGTAACACTCCTTTAAGGTAGCAGCTTATTATCACCCGCCACCTATCAGACGCCAACAACAGCCATGACCGCCCAGTCTCAACAGCCGACCTACACCTACAGAGCAACACGCAGCTGACGCGAGAGGCGGGCCGGGCTGGACGCGCGCGCCTGACCTTGTCGCCGGCGCCGCCAGTGCGGTGCACCTTGGAGGGCAGGGTCGGCGACGGACTGCCGGACGGCGAGCGGTCCGGCGAGGGACCGGTCTCGGCCGGCCGCTGGCTGCGCTGCCGACACACACAGAGGCCACCACAGGTCAGACGCAGGCGCAGTGCACCGGCCATAGCCTTGTGTTCTGGAGAGCGAGCCACGAGTATTGCGGGTGGGCGTGCAACAAAGCAGGGCTTACACCACAGCAGCCCCAAGTACAACGCACGACACGGGACATACACGAGCACAGTCAGTAGATTAACATAAGACAAACTGGCAGATGTCGAACAACAGCGCCGCATTAAGCATGGTATTGCAGCCATTCAATGGCACACAAGTTGAGCACTACACAGATATACTGCCAAACGCCATGCAGATAAAACATGCGTTGGCATGCGTTGACTTTCCGCGAATAAACATCACGATCATCAGACACACACGCACAATGTGTGAACTGCGAGCCTACATTACACACTCTCCGCGACCGGTTGGCGGGGCCGTACCGTGCCAGCGGCCGTCACCGCCCACAGCCTGCCGGCTGCGTCCAAGCGGCGCCGGCCGTCGCTCACCATAACCAGTGGCGTTAGCTGGCTCTGTCGGGAGCGCCTCCGTTTTCGCGGCGGCCGTGGCGGCCGCGGCGCCGGCGGCACGTCGGCAGCGTCGTCGCTGGTCGGCTCCTCGATCACCACCTCCGGCTCGGGCGGCGGCGGTGAGTCGGGCCCGCTGCTGCCTGGGCGGCCGTCGACCGGCGGCGGCGGCAGCAGTGGCGACCGGGGCGCCGCCGCTGCGCCGCCGCCGGCCAGCAGCGGCGATACGGGCCGCGTGCGGCCGCGACCGGAAGAGAAAACAGGCGAGCGGCGGCGGCGGCGGCGGCGGCCAGGCATCGCCGCTACGTCCTCCTCCAGCCACTGGTAGGCAGCCTCGTCCACCAGGCTGGCGCGCGGCCCGGTGGGCCTCGAGCGCCGGCCGCCGCGCTGCAGACGGCGCCGGTCGTCAGGGGAAGATCGAGCAAGACCATCGTACGCTGCACGGTGCGCTAGAGGTCACTGGGCAAAGCCTGGTTACCGGGGAGATCGGCACAACAGACAGAAACCAGCCATGGAAATATCAGGGTGGTTACACGAACTCCGAAAATGGGAATACGAACACAGTTAATGGTAATGCGCCATGTTTTTCAAGATATTTTTCTCCGACAAATCAGGCGCACGTAAAAGACAAGCTGCTGCACTTGCCCACGCGCATATATATTCACTTAGCCGAGCGAATTAGTCGAACCGAAACTTAAACCGAGTCACATTTGTTGCGAGGGTGACTGCAGAAACAGACCCACAACTGGTCAGCCATCCGGGCATCTCCCGCGGCCGGCACGGCGCACGCAGCCCGGCCGGCCGCGCCGAGGGCGCGCGTGGGGCCTCACCCGGCCTGGTGAGGGAGCGGTGACGGCCGAGCGTCCGACACCGCGGATGGCGCGCCGGTAGGCGACCGTCGGGTCCTCCTCCTTCTCCTCCCCGTCCGAGACCACCACTGCTGCAGGGCTGCCCGGGGATGCTGCCGTGCAGCAGGCAAGGCGTCACTAAGCCGACAGCGACGCGTCAGTACGGACCACGGCGTCGGACATAGCAGCACGTCGGCACGGACCACGGCGTCTGCACAGTGGCGGGCACTGAGACGGCAGCGACGTGTCAGCACGGACCACGGCGTCCGCGCAGCGGCCGGGACTAAGCCGGCAGCGGGCGTGCACGGACGAAGAGATGGCAACAATCCATGCTGGCGCCGTCCGATGCTATAAAGCCACAAACCAAACGAGCACCCATCGCCGCGTCGTGAGAGATACAGACGGAGGCACGCGCACAAGCAAGGTACCGACGCTACACACCTTATCGCTCACCTCACCTTACAAAACTGCCCCAGCAATGTTTCTCAGAGGCCGCTCCCATTCCCGAGGTCAGGCTACCCCCCCCCCCCCCCCCCCTACCTCCCCCAACAAGGTTCCCAGGTCTCCACATATGACGTGTGCTTAAAAGAAGAGCACGGAGCACGCCATCGCACACCCTTGTATGGAGCGCAAGCAACTGCACAGGCCATGTTGGCGTTCAGGGGCGCAGCCCGTCACGCACCGGACCTACCGGGGTCGTCGGTTGGGCCGGAGGTGCCGGACGTGCGCACCGACGGCGAGCTCTGCAGGCGGCGGCTGGGAGAGGTCGGCACCGGTTGACCCGCTGCGCGGCGGTCCAGGCTATCAGTCACAGCCACGCTCTCACCCGCGCCTCACTGACCAGGGTGGCGCGACAGGGGACAAGGCACCGGCCCCATGCTTCACACGGGAGGGACGCGCTGCTGGGAAGGACGAACACTGCACCGAAATGGCACTGAGTGGAACAGTAGATGCTGCAATGCAATTAGCTACGCCCGCGGTCCTGGTATCAGGCACCGAACACCGACGGCAGCAACAGCTCGCTTGAGCGAATTGCCGAATCTCTTCAACGCCGTTGGAGTGCTGTGCCAAACAGGACACTGGGCGGCAGCTTACCCGTGTGTGTCATTGGGCTTTACAACGCACTCAGCTGCTGAGGCTATATGGCGTCGCCTGCCTCTCACCCTGGCAGGAAGGGCAGGCACCGCGGGGAATCGAACCCCGTACCTCTGGTTTCCCAGATGTGCGGCGGTTAACGCAGACACGTTAACCACTACACTACCGGCGCCCCCGGCGGCTTACCCTTTCTCAGAGCTTCCTTCATCTCGTCCTCCAGCTGTCTGATGTCCGCCAGTTCATCCGGCGTTAGCCTGACATCCAGGTTGGCACGGTAGGCCATGAGGTACTCCAGAGGCGTTTCGCCCTGTCACGACGATACACGACTTTTACCACATTTGAAAGGTGCGGGTAAGTCGACGGAGACAGGACAAAGACCACCTCCAAGCACGAAGGGTGAACAGCCCTTTTGTACACTCCGGCAGACTGAACTACACGATGCGCGTAGATGTGCCAGCTGTAAGAAAAATTCCCTGTTTGAGTTGCATCCTTCAATAGCCACGAGATAAACTTCATACAGTGAGGCTATGGCAGTAGTCATGACCACAACAGTGCTGGATTACACATGCTGCGGCGTTGTTTTCCCACAAGTTGTTCACCTTTGATCAGTGTAAGAGTTGATAAGGGCATTGCGCGATGCGATTCCACAAAGGCTGAGTATCAGCTTGCCACTACTACTCCTTGCGCACTTCTTACCAGTAATGCTTCCGATTTTTTCCCGCGTCCCTCGGGCAGATAGCAACGCCATTGACCAACAGAACTAACCACACCAAAATAACCCGAACATGTTTCTGACGGATAATGTCAAGGCACGCCTCTTCTTGGAGTCCGCGTTCCAAACAAGCTGGAGCACGCCAAAACGCTGCCAAATAGGTTTCCTCCCGCCTTCCACCTTCCAAGCCCACGCGTCACGACGGTATCGCCTTCACGATGGCATTCACCAGCGTCAGAGACTGGACCCCAAACGACCCTGGCGACCGCCGCGCCGAGACAGGTGCCCTGCAGCTGGCACGCCGCGCAGCCCACCTGCTGGTTGGTGGCCGCCGGGCTGGCGCCAGCTTCCATCAAGAGGCGCGCCACCTCCAGGTGTCCGTTGCCAGCAGCGTCGTGCAGCGGAGTGGTGCCGCCGCAGTGCTGGCCGCCCGGGTCGCCGACGCGCGCGCCGTGCTGTAGCAGTAGGCGCACCACCTCCAGGTGGCCGAAGTTGGCCGCCTCGTGCAGAGGCAACCAGCCGGAGTGGTCCCGCGCGTTCACCGGGTGACCCTGGGGACGGGAGAGGCATCAGACCGACAGCAGGCCATCGGCCGGCCCTGACGACGGGGAGGGGGGGGGGGGAGGCAGCCAGCCGGAGTGGTCCCGCGCGTTCACCGGGTGACCCTGGGGACGGGAGAGGCATCAGACCGACAGCAGGCCATCGGCCGGCCCTGACGACGGGGAGGGGGGGGGGGGGGGAGGCAGTCAGCCGGAATGGTCCCGAGCGTTCACCGGGTGACCCTGGGGGCGGGGGAGGCATCAGGACGACAGCAGGCCATTGGCCGGCCCTGGCGACGGGGGGGGGGGGGGGAGGCGCTCAGGCCGGGTGTCGCAGGGAAGAGGATCGGGAGGATCGCAGGTAAACCTGAGGGGAGCACCAGACCTGATGATTTAAACAACAGAGGAAGACCGGGTGAGCCGCTGCAAACCAAGTATCGCCAACTGGAGCTTCAAGCGATCCTCAGCAGACACACGACACCACCAAACACAAGTCCCCAGTCAGCTCCTCCGGCGGCACGCCGACGTACGAATCGGGCGACCGCTGGTCTAATGTATAAGGTCCTACCGCCAGCAGCCTGGCGGTAGGACCTAGCTCTACCCGCAGGCAGGCGGGAACAACCTACCAACTGCAGCAGCCAGGACACCCAAAGACTGAAGACTGAAGCAGCTGGGACACTCAGCAAATGCAGCGGCTCGGACACCCACAAACTGTGGCAGCCGGGACACCCATTGATTGCATCAGCTGGGACACCCAACGACTGTATCAGCCGGAATACCCACCGACTGCAGCGGCCGGAACACCCACAGACTGCAGCAGCCGGGATACCCACAGACTGAAACAGCCGGGACAATCACCAGCTGCAGCAGCCAGGACACCCAAAGACTGTAGCAGCCGGGACAATCACCAACTGTAGCAGTCGGGACACCTACCAGCTGCAGCAGCTGGGACACCCACCAGCCGCAGCAGCCAGGACACCCACCGACTGCAGCAGCCGGGACACCCACCGACTGTAGCAGTCGGGACATCCACTGGCTGCAGCAGCCGGGACACCCGCCGACTGCAGCAGCCGAGACACCCACCGACTGCAGCAGCCAGGACACCCACCGACTGCAGCAGCCGGGACACCCACTGGCTGCAGTAGCCGGGACACCCACTGACTGCAGCAGCTGGGACACCCACTGACTGCAGCAGCCGGGACACTCACTGGCTGCAGCAGCCGGGACACCCACTGGCTGCAGCAGCCGGGACACCCACCGACTGGACCAGCCGGGACACCCACCGACTGCAGCAGCCGGGACACCCACCGACTGCAGCAGCCGGGACACCCACCGACTGCAGCAGCCAGGACACCCGCCGACTGCAGCAGCCGGGACACCCACCGACTGCAGCAGCCGGGACACCCACCAACCGCAGCAGCCGGGACACCCACCGACTGCAGCAGCCGGGACACCCACCGACTGCAGCAGCCGGGCCGCCTGCTTCAGCTTGCCCTGCATGCAGGCCACGTGCAGGTGCGTCTCGCCCTTGTTGTTGCGCCAGAGGTTGCGCGCCGGGCGTGCTCGCCGCGGTCGCTCCGGGTCCGCGTCCTCCGAGTCGGAGCTCAGGCCTGCCGTCAGATGGCGCCGTCAGAGGGCGCTGCGGCTCCAGGCGCCGCGTCACATGAGCGCCTGGCAGGTCAAAACTCCCAGGCCGCAAGTGCAGCACGGTGGCAATAACTCGCAGCACACGGGGTGTCGCACACCCGCTGGGTGAGCAATTATTCGTCATCGCTTTCATGGAACACCACATGGTTCGAAGCAATCGCACAATGCAGAACGCTCAAAACTTGCTTTACGTGATGACGAACATGTCGGCGCAAATGAGCTTGTGATCAAGCGCCTTCTTCTGTTGCATGTCAGAAATGTCATGCAGGTCAACGGCAAGGAAAGCCCGGTTCACCTCATGCTATCCCTTTCGGGCCAGTTCTTTATCCGCAAGCTAATTAGCTGAATGCCACTACCTCTGACGTCACCGGTAGTCGCGTCACAAAGGGTCCTATACGGAGATCCCGTAGTTCGTGTGTGATGTGTAACTGGCGACCCCACCACAAATCCGTAGTGCGTAAAAAGCTATAGCCGAGGTAACAGGTGCAAGCCAGCAGAACCAACAGCCGAGGCCGCGCCCTAACCTTCCAGGTGGTCTAGGTCGATGGACTCGCTGCCCGAGCCGTCGTCCTCCGGCTCGGAGGAGTCCTCCTGACTGTCGTGCCTCCCGTCGAAGTCCTCGGGCAGGCGGTCACAGCGCAGCGCCAGCGCCAGATCGCGGCGCACGCGCGCTGAGGGTCGGACGGGGAGCCGCGGTCAGGCGCCCGACCACGGCGCCGCGTCCGCAGACACGCCGCTGTCGGCCGGCCACATGATAACGGCTGGACGGGCTATGCACTGTTTATATGTTGGTTATGGTGGACTGGAGGGAAGGAGCGGCGAACACAGCGTCGTCGCTAACATGAGATGAACAACTGCGCAGCCGCGCTCTGCTATTTAGATCAGTCACAAGAGCATTACCAACACGCTGAACGAATGTCAATGTCTCGCCAACATAAGGAGAGCGATAATTTTGGGGGGTTTCAAAGTTGTGTCGCCCACGTTATATGGATGGAACCCATATGGAGCAAGGGGTGTATTGTCAAGACCTGACTAAGCTAAGCGATCGCTCCGTCCACACGAAATGCCCCCTACTATTGGGGACAGACCTTCGTCCTCTAGCAGACCGTGTTCGCGGTACGTCTCAGCCATGTCCTGCAGCGCAGACGCCCGCAGTCGGGGCAGGCCGGCCAGGCACGCCTCGTCCGCCGCCTGGCGGTAAAACTCGCAAATAGAGCCGACGTCGCCGCCCATAGAGAGCTCTAGGCTCGCCAGGTTCAACAGCGTCTTGCAGACCTGCCGAATCATGGGACTGTCAAATCAGAGCGTGACAGTTCATCTACTTACAACGCCATTTTGTATCACACACGATAAAGAACAGTGGTGAATGAATATAGGTAAGTGGGGGGGGCGGGGGAGTCGGTATTTATTCCAGCTATCTCAGTAAAATGTCATACCGTTTAAGGCAATGTTCCACCCTGTGGTACATTTCAAAACCACACTCCAGTGAAACCTCAGGACTAGTTACGTCTATCAATGGTACTGGGTAATGCCATTGCAGCGCCGAAAAGACCTCATTCTCACTCATAAGCATATCAATTTGAATTACTTTTGAGTCCAAATTATACTGTCAACGTTTCGTAACAGCACCACGCTTCCTGCAGTCGCGGCCACCGCTGCTATGGCAACCACCGTGTGCACCTCTACTGGTGCGAATAAAGGAACGTTTGTGAGCGGCCCAGCAGGCAGCAAGGGTCTGTTACCGAGTAGAGCATTGGTCGAAGTTTGAATCAATGCGTCACGTGGATCATGTGATGCCTCCATCCTCAAAGCCAAAATGCACCTTGAAGAGAGCCACTGCGGTAAACGTCACAGGGGAGAAATCAAAGCCATATTTAAACGTTTCGTTAAATTCGCGGAATAATAGCTTCATGTTTGCATGTTTTTGTTGTTTTGTTTTTTTTTGTCTACGCAATGCTTCCGGACCTCAGAGCATATATTACACAAACATTTTGAAACATGTCTGTGCTAACATTCCAGCGCAAACACGTTGGAAAAAGTTAGACAAATTAAATGCATTATTTTCGTAGTGGTGAACGGGGAGTCAAGTGAGACTTCTCCTGCAGGGTTGGCCAATCTAAATCAAAATTCTGAGGTTTTCAGGAAAAGAAATCAAGAAAGCTGACATAACCAAACAAATCGTACGCATCTAATGTACCGACGAGTGAAAAAAAATTAGGATACCCCTTTAAGTGCCAAAAATGTCTCACAGTTTAGTGTAGAAGCACTGCCCCCTTCACCCTGTCTGCTAAAGGCGAACTCCTAAGGCCGCAGTTTTTGCGAGGAGCTGAAATTCCAGACATTTTAACGGCTCCGTTAAAAGGCATTTCAAGAGGCAAAACACGGTTTTTCCAGTAAAATGCCACCAAATTGTCGTGCCTCTTTTGTAGCATAAATTTCGCATAACACGTATCACAAGTATGCTTGCACATAATGATACCTGCCAGCGTAGTGGAACAAACAGCAATAACGATGACAAACAACGCGAGTTTTTTCCAGCCATCACGTGAGTATGCGCCGCTCACACGGGGTACAGCAGACACCAGCTCCAAGACTGCACGTACGGCGGAGTGACAAGCACGCGGCGGGTGTCATCCGACCCAGTGTCCCACGTCAGGGCCTCGTCTCATCGGTGACCGCCAGTGAGTCTCACCTCCTTGCTGTTGCCCCGTCGGGCCTCCAGCTCGCGCAGGAACCACCGCTTGGCCTCAGCGTGCTGACGCAGGTCCTTGTGCGTCTCGGCCAGCGAGGCGTAGATGGCGGCCTTGACCGCCTCCGGGCGCCCCAGGGCCTCGGAGCACTGCGCAGCCAACGGGCACCATACAGTTACCACCCAAGGCGAATGACGACAACGTGGCGCAGTTACTCGGACGCGTACACACAGATCGTCGTCCATAAAAACTCTGTAGGCTCCCAACTTTCTGTAGCGTCAGGACCTTTATACTGAACTATACACAAATATACCAACGTGATATAATTTCAACTCATTAATTGAGCATGACCGTGCAAACACAAGCACCCATCGGATACGTTTCGCCCAACACTCCGCCGACCAAAACCTGTCCACACAAACTAGACTGATCACAGGTTTTCGTGCAGTCTGCTCGAGCGGCTTTGACGCGGCTCGACGTAAGGGAGGTGGAGCGGCGCACCTGCAGCTGCGCCCGATAGTGCTCCAGCGCCGACGCGTACGCCGACAACTGACAGAACCAGTCGCCGAGCTTCTCGTGGCGATCGTGGCGCCCCTGGTGGTCGTCCCGGTCCAGCAGCATCAACTGGTCGTCGGCGCGGCAGATTCGCACCGCTGCCGGGCCGTCAGAAGGTCAGCCCTCAGGGTCAGGTCAAGCTCGGAGTGACACTGCGCCAAAGCGGTTTGCGAAGTCGCGGTTAGCAAGTACACGCTGAAACGCTGCGAATATCAACGAGCAGCTGTTTGTCCCGGCAGTCTACTCCCTCTTCCGCCACCTAGCATGTATATAATTCGCAGACTGGTTATACAAGCCACACATCAATGGATAATTCGTAACAGCACTCCAAAGACACAGAAAACCTCCAATTTCAGGAACAATTAATGTCAGCACCACCAGCCAAATTGATTCGATGCTACCCTAAGAGAATTGCAACGTGCCCTCCAGCCCCCTCGTACCTCTCAGCTCTTCTCACTCCTTGCCTGGCGGCACTTATGTTAACCTCATCAACTTAAGCACGACCACACTCAGCCCACTGCAAGGCCCATTGCCTGTCACGTGATATTACTGATCGCTTCCTGTCCTAGTCCGCGAGAAGATTGGCACGAGTCGTCCCCATTATCAGGGCAGTCCCTGCGGGCGTTGCCGCCAAACACTCAGCGCAGCGGTCACCGCCGGGCGGACGCCGTTGGTGACGTACCTCCCATAACAGCCGAGACCAACACAGCATCCCACCGTGTCGCAGGCAGCGGTCACCGCCGGACGGACGCCGTTGGTGACGTACCTCCCATAACAGCCGAGACCAACACAGCGTTCCACCATATCGCAGGCAGCGGTCACCGCCGGACGGACGCCGTTGGTGACGTACCTCCCATAACAGCCGAGACCAACACAGCGTTCCACCATATCGCAGGCAGCGGTCACCGCCGGACGGACGCCGTTGGTGACGTACCTCCCATAAAAGCCGAGACCAACACAGCATCCCACCGTATCGCAGGCAGCGGTCACCGCCGGACGGACGCCGTTGGTGACGTACCTCCCATAACAGCCGAGACCAACACAGCATCCCACCGTATCGCAGGCAGCGGTCACCGCCGGACGGACGCCGTTGGTGACGCACGCAGACTCCCATAACATCCACCGGGCTACAGCAGCCGAGACCAACACAGCATCCCACTGTATCGCAGGCAGCGGTCACCGCCGGGCGGACGCCGTTGGTGACGTACCTCCCATAACAGCCGAGACCAACACAGCATCCCACTGTATCGCAGGCAGCGGTCACTGCCGGACGGACGCCGTTGGTGACGTACCTCCCATAACGGCCGAGACCAACGCAGCGTCCCACCATATCGCAGGCAGCGGTCACCGCCGGACGGACGCCGTTGGTGACGTACCTCCCATAACGGCCGAGACCAACGCAGCGTTCCACCGCACCGCAAGCAGCGGTCATCGCCGGACGGACGTCGTTGGTGACGTACCTCCCATAACATCCACCGGGCTACAGCGGCCGAAACAAACACAGGGTCCCACCGTACCGCAAGCAGCGATCACCGCCGGACGGACGTCGTTGGTGACGTACCTCCCATAACATCCACCGGGCTACAGCGGCCGAAACAAACACAGGGTCCCACCGTATCGTAGGCAGCGGGAGTGTCTCTTGTGTTCCGACGGCTTTGGCGAGCGCAGCTTGTAGGCCTTGTACCAGGAGCGGCTGGCGGCCTCTGTGTCCCCCATCAGCAGGAGCACCTGACGCACACGGCATTACTGTCAGCGGCGTCAACGTCATCACCCGTCTGGCGTAAAACCGAGACCAGGGGAGTTCACACTCCTGAACTACGCACGAGGACCTGCGTCACAACACTAACAGCTCACTCGTAGTGTCGGGGGCTAGCTTTAGCTGGTACTGCATCGGTACCGTCGGTACACGAACAGTGACAGGGCTGGTATGTACTCGTGCCTTTCCGACATTTATCTGAATTCAGTGAAAGCTGGGAGCAGCCAAACAATACCAGCTCTCGACCGGTCCCCAGGCACCCAGTCCGGTGGTGGTGCCACGCTCTAGACCACATCGGTACAGCCGGCGTCGGCCGTGTATCGGAGCTCGCACCGTGGCGCGGCTGTGGAGGGCATCCGCGCGGCCGGCCCGATCCTGCAGCCGCTCGGCCAGCCGCAGCGACGCCTGCAGGTGGTGCAGCGCCTGGCCGTACTCGGCCGTCGACTGCAGACTCAGGGCCAGGCTGTCGTGCACGCGGCGGCCGTCCTCCAGCAGGCCGTGCTGCTCCGTCACTGCCGCCGCCTGGGGTGGGGGCCATGTCAGACAGTGAACATCACTGGCCCTCA